CCAAAGAAAAAAAAAAAAAAAAAAAAAAAACTAATCCTAGTTTCTTGTAAATCAGAGCTTTCTATTCATTTTACGGCCTATGGGTCTGCTTAGATGGAGAAACAATACATGGACTCTGCCCAAATCAAAGATTGAGCAGAAACTGACAACAGGATTCAAACAGTGACGTGATAGATTCCATATCAGTCTTTGGAATCACTCCTGGTTTTGGTGTGAACTCCATACAAATTGTATGACTGAAATGCGTATCTCCTGAAAGTGTTTCTTTAGTGTATCTGTGAGAATGAGGCACTCATTTGGAGGCTCTAGGAATTAGGGCTCAATAGAAGCTAGTAGTGGTAATACAACTTGACTCAATCATACCAGAGGTTTATACCATTTCATAAAAAAAGTAAATTATCCTGAGGCCAGCAGGTGGCATGGTAGTTAAGGTACTGGAGTCCCACATGGCTGCCCACAGTTCAAGTCCCAGACTTGCTTGCTTTCTCACATTCTTTCTCACTCAGTCTCTCTGGTGAGCACATGTGCCCTGCAAACAATGAAAAATCATTAAAAAGTCAACCCTGAAATACACTTGTCAGGTGGTTTCAGTGTTTTCCAGTCATTAATTCAACTCAATGGAATTTTTTTTTCTGAGAGATTTTTGCTATAGGGCATCTGTGCTCGCCGGAGAGACAGAGACAGGAATCACACCCCAGGGGGATGGCCACACCACAATCCCTTCTCCATTCTCCTCTCAGGATCTTGGACAAACAAGCATACATGCTTGGCATGAGTTTTAAGCTGTCAGGTCCAGGACTTGAACTACAGTCCTCTACATGGGAATCCAACAATGTAACCATTACACCATATGCTGGTCTCAATAGCAAGGGATAAAAGGCCCTCAGTCTCAAGGAGTTAGTGTTTATTGGTTTGTTGTGGGGTCTATTTGCTCACTAGTGCCCCCCAGAGGGAGATGACCACGCCACAGTCCCTTCTTCACTCCCATCGGTACTTTGAACAAGCACATGTGCAGCAGGTGTTTGGCCTGTCCCAAGGAGTACGTTTTTAAAAATTTGTTAAAGGCATATGCTCCCAGAGTCAAATTGGGGGAAGAGCCATGCCACCTCCCACCACCCCCTGTGGGTAATGGCAACATGCATTCCCTTCTCCACTCCTCAGGTTTTGGGTGCATACACACACAAGCCTTGTCAACCACCTGTCATCATCTATTTTTGTGCACAGTGGGGGTAGAGGAGGCAGAGAAATCTCCACACGGGTAATAGCCATGCTGCTGCAGTCTCCCATTCTCTTACGGATTTTGGGTACCTATGTTCTTGAACCGCACCCAGCGTTGGCTACATGGGGTCCAGCACCTTAACCACCATGCCCCCTGTAGCCCAGTTTTAACTGACATGTTTAGGGTTTTAGTGCCAGAGAAGAGAATCAGTGAAGTCTGGTAAGCAGGCCTCTGGTGGATAACCTCCTAGGCACCTGACTCCATACACTTTGTGTCCTGATGGCAGGCATCCAAGTCCTGTTCGCTTAGCCTTGCTACTGGCCAGTCTCTGCCAATTTTTTTAAAAATAATTATTTAACTTTACTTATTTTAATTTGACCTGAGAGAGAGAGAGGGACAAAATGAGAAAGGAATCCAGTAGACCCACAGTTGACCATGTGGGGATCCAGCACCCTTAACCACACTATCTGCTAGCCCCTCTGCTAGTTGAGTGAAAAACAGCCCAGTGGTGTCACTTGTCTCCCATCAGACAGTTTCCAGCTGAGCTAAGCTCCCTCCCCTTCCCCCTTAACCTTCTGCAGCTGGTTAGGGAGCTTAACCAGGTCCAGAAAAAGCTCACCCCAAGACCTGGCCTGTGTACGTGCAGCCTGCTGCCAGCCCTAAAGCAGTAAACCTGCAGTCCCCGAAAAGGTCGCATCCCTGGGTTCCCCCTAACTGCCCCGCTTCAGTGCTGGAGAGATGCCCATGTAGGACTTGGGAGGAAAAGCTAGATCCCAAATAACGTGTAGAGCATGATCCCATTTTTTAACAAAGCCATTACGTGTTTAGGTAGGGAAAAAAAGACTAATAAGGATTTCCTAAGAAAGATGGAAGGTTTCCTTTTAAACTTCACATGTGTTAATCTAATGTATTATTTTATTAAAAAGAAGGAAAATATACTTCATGGCTCCCAATTCAGGCCTCTTTGCCTGGTCTCCCAAGAAACCATTTTGTCCAGCACATACCTCGTGGCTATCCCACACTGCAGTTCCTGGAAAGGCTCCCTCTGCTACTCAGCCAAACTCCTTTACTTCCTCCTTCTCCTGGTCCTTTAAGTCACATTTCTG